TGTTACTGCACTTTCTCTGTAACCATATAATTCTATTTCTATTGCTTACAGCAATTCACGTCCCCACCTTCACATCATACAACTGTAGGTGCTTAATATGGGCAAGAATTTGTCTCAGACAGTATTCCAACCATTTCTTAACCCAGTGTTTATTCAGTGATTTCCCTTTAGCCTGTGTTTTCCAGGTGTTCATTAGTTATCAAAAATTACGCAGTCTGTATGTTGAGCCTGCTTTTAGCTGAGAAGGGTGATTCTGAATAAACAGCGCAAATGCTACATGCACATGTTAATATTTAATGTGGCTTCGGTCACATGCATTTCCAATGAGCCGTTTTGATGTATAGTTATTGTACCATGTATTTAAAAGTGGAGCTTCTCCAAGCAATCACTCAGAAAAGCTCAAAATAAATATTGGCCTTTGTGTCAGGTTTCCATTATGCGACTACTAAACCAGGCTGGGTGGAAGGTTCACAGAGGGTTGATGGGGCTTTGTCAGCTCTGCTTTATTAGGACTTTTCCATGCCGGAGCATTCCTGGGTGTGGCTGATGGGATTTCCTGCCTTTTTGTCCCGCGAAGGTAGCACGGAGGGTCCAAGTGCAAGGAAACGGTTCCTGCTTCGCTCCCGTATGAGATTTTTCGGCAGGGAAGAGAGCTGGCCGTGCAGAGCGTTGCTTGGGGGGATTGTTTGGATACTGCTGTGGTTGATAGAAGGTCTCAGAATCTGTGGATGAGCAGGGGGGACACAAGGAATGTGTCACCCTGTTCCTGCAGGCGAGGGGTCCTTAACATTGTAACTCTCTTCATTGGATCACATAAGTCTACGCTAATTATGTTCCCAACTTAAAAAAAAAACCAAAACCCACACTTTTTTTTGGTGTTAATATCTTAATTTATGTTAGATGCTTGAGTTTCGGGTCTCTCATTTCAGCAGAAAACTTGTAATGGAACATTGTACCACATGTTCTTATATCTGGCTCCTGTGTGCTGAGTGAATTTGATTACTGTTAATTGTCATAGAAAATCCTGTGCATAGAGTAGTAACTGAAGGGAGAGGTCTTGGCTCTATGTGCTTCTTGCAGACGGTGTAAAAAAAAATAAGGTTCTATCAGAATAAATTAGATGATACCGAGTGAGCAAGCTCTTTGCATCTGTAAATGCAAAAATGGGATTAGGAAGTTTTATCATTAGATGGATTTTTTGTTTGTTTGTTTCGTAAATCCTTGAAGGTTCAGTTGTAGTTGGGTTAATTTCATTTTCCAAGAAAAACTATATGGGGAATTATTGAAATACAATAGATGTTTTCCTGGGGAATTTCAGAACCCCATAAATGACAAAGCCTGTCCTTGGAGAATTTCCAGCATTTCAGAGCTGAGTAGGTCACATAGCTCTGGTCTGCATATCCACATTTTTGGATGCTTTGTCAATCTGACCCTTTTTACAACATCTGATAATGCCTCAGCCCATACAAAATGCAATCGGTGTTGAGATTTTCCAGGCCAAATTAGGAATTAGGAAATGTTACCATTGGGTAATCCCTGTATTTCTTAGTTGACAGAGTAAGCAAAGGGTGGATAACAGCATTTTTACGTTTTTAGGTCCCCTAGCTTTGGCCCTGGCTGCCTGCATTGTACAGCAAGCC